TTTGCGATTACTCTCTATTTATTTAATACCCGCTTATGGCGTGATCATAAGGCATAGGCCATTTACAATACTACAGAATGTATTTTACATTCAGAGGTACACACTCGTATTTATTTATTGGATCTGTCTTGACAATGGAGGCCTAAGTAACAAACTAAAGCATAAAGCCTATTAGTAGTAATGACTTGATGCGGAGGTTACGGTGCTAATCAATAGGGTTCAGATGATTCCGCAGTTTAGTTAAGTATTTTTGTGTAACGATTTTCTACGGATATTTTCAATACCTTTTTACCATAGTGTATCCGTTATTACTCTAAACTTTTTTTGATTGGAACCTTTGAATTATATCTATAATATATTTGTCGAGCAAAATGGTGCTACATAACTGGATTCTATATCCGAGTACATATCCAAATCAATTTTTTTGTTGCATTATTTTGGAGGACAAATTTTTTTTTCAAGGGCACTCACTATTTGAAAATGTAGTATGTATGTATTTTAATTAATACAATAAAAATATATATTAAATATTTCCATTTTTGATGTTATTTTCCATTACTTTCCCAAGCTGCTTCGCAACATTACTCTAGACTGGAGTAATGTACATACAGTGAAGGACTAAAGTCTACAAACAGCTGCAGTTTTTCCAGTTTTCTACAATTTGTATATTTATTAAATGGGAAAACTGACGAGGCAGTTTTGGTTAATATTCACATTTATTCACAAAAAAAAATTCAAATCAAATTAAAAAAACAAAAAAAAAACAGGAAAACTGTGACAGTATGTAGCCTTTAGTCCTTCACTGTATATACTAGAGTTCTAGATACCCGTTAGTTGCCAACTGCTAAAATTTTTTGTTTGGTATACCTCAATTTCCAGTTTTGCTTGTCATAATTTCTTTGGAATTTCAAAGAACTCTTCACTTGGGGTTAATAAATTTAGAGCTTTAGAAAGAAGTTCTGAAAATAAAAACAAAAGTTTTGATCGAAAAAAACTCGAATGCCTGAAATCGTGCTCCAGCAATGGGCTGTAGTTTATACCACCATGATGATGCAATGAGGAAAAGTGACTCCAATTTCGCCATATTTATTGCCTTAGAAAAACAATGTCATTTATTTCCTAATTTTAGGTTAGATTTGGAGGATTTTTGTTGAATAGTGACTGCTTGCATTTTCTGTTACCAGAATATCTATGTAGATTCAAAAGTATAAACCGGCTATTAAACGTACGGTTCCAACTAAAGAACTCACATAGAATGCATAACTACGAGTATTTGAGAGTAAAGCCCAGCCTACTCTCTCTCTAGTTAACAAAGCGACCGGTTTGGGCCGCTTTATTTTTCATATACCACTAAAATTTATCCTTCAACTAATTTTTCAAATACAACTTAAGAAGAAATAACGTTAATATTATGTGTCAAAAGTTGGAAGGAAATTAGATGTATCTCAAAAATTTCATTTAAAAGGCCTCAATACAAATTTCTTTGAGAATAAATGTTAAAGCTAAATTAATCGTTGAAACCGAGATCATCCTGCAATTAGTGTCGTACTTCTTGATGCTTTTTCAGCAAATTTTATGATACCTCCGAATGTCTGGTGGACTTTTATGAGGAGCTTTTTAGTTAATATCAGAAATACACCCAGTAGGGTTGCCATTGCTTACCGGGAGGTGATGGAGATCAGAAATAATTAATTTTACAAGTAAATTATTATTTTTATACCTTTCTCGAACTTGATATGAAGTATTCAATATGGTCCGTCGTACATATGAATGTAATTAAGAACAGAAGAATTTATGCCGATTGGAGCAGAACAACGAGCTGAGTTGGTTTCAGTTCTTCTGTCCGTCTGTTTCTATGCAAACAAGAAAATTTTTCCGATATTCCAAACTTAGTACACGTTGGAACTGGACCACTATAACAACCGATTTTTCAGATTTTAGATTTCGATTCAAAAATCTGGCAAAACAGCATCTAGAGCATGAAATTTGGTGTTCTTAACACATTCGTACTGAAAATCAGCAAAATCGAAGGACTATATCATAAAGCTCCCATATAACCGCTTTATTAAAGGGCACACCTAGAATGAAATTTCATAAAAATCTATCTTTTCCCATATTTCAGTAGATTACACCTTTAAAAACAACGTATTAAATCGATATATCAAATATTTTTTAAGTTATAGCAACTTAAAGACCATCCGCTCGGTAGCTAGAGAGTCTCATTAGCTACGAGTGAAAACGATCATTTTATCTTTAAACGTTATGAGATTTCGGGCAAAAAAAGAAAAAAAACGAAGAAACATCTAAGAGCGTGATATGTTATATATATATAATTGACGCTTTGTAACCGCTGAAGCGCTTTTCGTCCGAGCTTAAAGACCATCCGCTCGGTAGCTAGAGAGTCTCATTAGCTACGAGTGAAAACGATCATATTATCTTTAAACGATATGAGATTTTGGGCAAAAAAAGAAAAAACGAAGAAACATCTAAGAGCGTGAAATGTAATATATATATAATTGACGCTATGTAACCGCTGAAGCGCTTTTCATTCGAGCTCCTCCTCCAATTTGTGGTTTCGCGTCTTAATGTTTTTCCAACAAAGTGAGGAACCTACACTTTATACTGAACCGCCTCCGAACGGCTGATGGTTTTTTATGATGAGCTTTATTTCTTGTCACAAAAAGCCCTCCGGGTTGGCATTTTCTAAATACCATAAATTTGCTATGGTCATGAAAGGTATAGAAACTTCGGCCTGGCTGAAGACAGCTCTCCTGAATTGTATTTTTTTTTTTAAATTTTTTTGTGCTCAGCCAAACATATGCCAGTTTTGCTCTTTGTTTTGATTCTTCTTCGTTATATTTTACTCCCCTCTCTCGTTCATTTACCAGAGCAAGCATTTACTATTAGCGGTATGCGTTGGTATACTAATGTACACATATGTATGTACGTTTTGATGTTGGTAAAATCTTCGTAAACAACGAAATACTTGTAGTAATACTTAGCACATGTTGCACATAATTTTACCTTGTTGACGGGTCGTTACTTCCTACTGAGAGCAAATAACCGAGTGAGCAGTTCAGTTTGGAAACAGAAGATTTAAGAGTAACTCGATGTGCGCTCTTCAAAGCACTGGCGTCCAAGATGTGGGGAAAATTGTAAAACAAGTATAGTACCTTGAATAAGAAATCACTCAATGGTGAGGGGGCTTTAAATTAAATTAATTAATTAAAATTACTTAAGCTTTTTCAATATATTAAATGCCATTATTTAATTAAAGACATCTGTCGCCGGCACGGCTATGCTTACAGCACCGTATCTTTTCAGTGAAATTTTCCATAACCAAATCGCATAGTCACAGCTGGATGCCCTCAAAAGCTGCACGAATTCCATATTCCAATCGATCGCCACTTCTAGAGATAACACGGTCTGGAAACTTTTCCATTCAAAGATCGATAGTTTCGTTGCTTTTGTGACATGTACCGCGATCTTGTTGATATGAAACGTTGTCCAGATCAATACGAAGCAAATCCGGCCATAAGAAATTAATAATCAGCTCTCGATAGCCCCAACCTATTCACCATAACTGTTCAATTAAGGATAAACAATAAATCTTGCATTTTCCGAGCGCCATAGAGGTGGACACATCAGTCAAGGAGAGTTTTCTATGAAATTCCGAATCCTTTACATACATTTCCAAGATCCATCAGCAAAGACGACGAAGTTGATGATTGTGTTAACTGAGCTTTAAAAGCCTCAAGATCCAACTCTTTATGCAAAATACGGTGGAATGACTTTTGCGGAATGCCCTATTCCAAAGAAACGACGAGGAATGGACAAACCTGGGTTTTCTTCAACACTTTGGGCTACAGCAGCAATATTTCCAGTTGCACTTGAGCTACGGGCTCGTGTTTTATTCTAACATCACTAACCTACTCTAACAACTTAATTTTTTTTTTAGCAATTTCTCTATTGCTATTCGACTTGGTGCTTCATGACGACCGAAAAATGTCTTAGCGTTACGAACCGTCTCTGCCAGGTTTTCACTATTTCACCGGAGTGGCTGGCTTTCCACACTAAGGACTGACGGTATAAATTTTCAATATCTTTAGATGTTGGTCGGTTGGGTCAGTATTCGAACCTATGACCTATCATATGGTAGTGCATACAAATAACCGCTCGGCTAATGGGAATTTTCGTTTTACATATTATTGTAGCTCGAATATTTCTAGCACTGGTCGATGAAACACTGCGGAGGATAAATTTACACTTAATATTGGGGCGTCATTTTTTCCTAATTCGTAATGTCATGTATATATATACATACTTACATCTATGTATATACAATATTATACATAGTTTACTTGTGCCATATTTTTCTGTTTAACCTGTTGCAATTGGCTTCTACTGAGCTTTCTTTACACACGTGCTTACACTTTGTCCAAACCAACCGTACAAGCAGCTATTATTTCTCTAAATATACATATATACATATGTACATTCCCATACGAGTATATGTACTTGTGCGCTTGTGTTAGTAGCAGACTTCAAAAAGGAAGCTAACTGTTAACGAAGTCACATTGAACTGGGCATTTAACTGCGGAAGTCAAGGTAGCCGGCACAGCTGCCGGGTAGTCATGTCGTCGTGCTCCCGAGCTTCAACTGGGCTCGTGTGTAGCCGAAAACAGGAATGGTAGTATTAACAACCACCACCGCTATGGGTCCTTCAACATAACAAATCTATTCATATTAGCTGATATGCATGCATACATACAGACACACACACACACACGCACACACATACACATATGGGTGTACGAATAAAGCATATGAATTCAAGGGGAAAATGCGCGCCAGATAGAAGGACGTGTTTCGCACAACCTTGTTGCCTGCATTCGTCTATTTTATTCGCTATTACTTTTTCACTCTCTTCGAGTACATTATTTCACGCTCTTCTCATTGAGTTCTCTTAATTTTCATTTATTTGCTGCTTTTATTCACAGGCACTTGTTGTATTCGAAGCGAGATACACATCGCCTGACAATGCTGCTGGCAACTTTGAGCCGACCAATCTGGTGCGACCCATACAGGAGCAGCACAATATTAGCTGCAGCAGCCACAGTTTGGACGATGATCAACAGATGCTTCTTGACATCGAGCAGAACATAGCTAATCTGGAGCGCAGTTTGAATCGAGGTAAAGTGAAAATTCGCAGTTTAAAGTGAAAGAAATTGAAAATTAAGAAAATTCAAAATTTTCAAAATATTCAAGCGGTTTTACGTATATAAAATGAAAGGAGCGTAATGAGAGTGCAATTTAAATAATGCTCTTTGTGAATGAATAGCATAAAATGAAAATTAATCAATTAACATCAATCAGGGTTAAGCAAATTTTGTTCGTTTTGATGGCGTGGGAAGTGAAATTTAAAATTAAAAATGTTATCGCGCAAGAAAAGTGAAAGTGAATACATGCAATAATTAAAATAAAAAAATTTAAAATTTATAAAAGCAATTTAACATACTAAACACAACGAGAAAATTTTGAATGCCAACTTTTTTCATGAAAATTCCACAGAGACGTTATTATTTTGGAGAAAGTTAAAAACCTTCAACTAAAAACTTTTTTAAAAATTCAATACAATACGTACATACGATATGTGTGTATGTTCAAGTAAACGTGTGCCATGCCATGCCATAAAGACATTTGATAAATTTGAAATATCTTACGATGGTTGCCTGTAAAATCGGTAACTTTCCGTTTATTATATATGCAAAAAGAATTAGATGCCCTTCAGGCATTTTATGCTTCAGCTACAAGGAAATGAATAATTAATATTAACATCAAAAAAAGGCGAATTACGATGAAAGCATTATATTTTGTGTGCGAAAGGGTTGAATCCCACACAATGGCCTGTGACTATATTTAAATTGCCATTGAGCATAAATTTAATTAAAAGACACAATATCGCATTGATATGAAAAAATTGAGGGTTAATCGTTATTTTATGGCAAAGGTGCTAGTTATTTTAATTTTTTAACCAATCCAACACAATTAACATGCATTAAATTGACTTGAAATGAGTTTAAGGACTCAGAAAAGGCAAAGGCATAATGATCGATTGTTTTTGTGATAATTAAAATAAACACAGAAACCAACGCCCATGAGATGATTCTTTCATCAAAGAACCTTTTTTTATCATATCGCTTTCTTTTGCACACACACACCGCTACATTCTCCAGTTTTTTTTTAACGGTACGAAGCAAACTCAACAGCACAAACCAAAATATTTGGTACTTTCATAGTATAAATTTCATTCCTAACAGATTTTGTCGGTGTTTACAGATGTTCTGTCAGGTTTTTAGTCTTTTTACGGGGCCTCTCTTTCTTGTTGAAACGGGCTCAGCTGTTTTTTCATCATCGTATATGATGGGACATGGTCCTGAAGAGCGGCTTAAACTCTTTCGTGGTGCTTGCTTGTTTTTTTACAAGGAATTTAATCACAACTCGGTACTTCAAATTGGGAGAATTGCTTCTTCCTGGAATGAAATGTCAAAAAAGTGGTGTTATTTATACCAATGATAAGTCCCGCAGTTAGTTTTATCAGTAACGCAATGATGAGTCATCTCTAACTAATTTAGGTCGCGAAAAGACGGCCGCACCTCATAAATCCATAAAAAGACTTGTGCCAGAATAGGTATAGCCATTCTATACCAACACATCGAGTTTTTTCAATATGACTTTTTAATTTCAAATTTTAAATTTAGTTTTTTGAGCCCATTCTGCGCGTCAACATCATTAACTGTGTATATATATCAGGGGTATTATCTTAGTCTAGAAAATACATGAATTTCAAGGTTTTCCTATCCGTAAAATCACGCAACAATGCAATGCAATGCAATGATATTATAGGAACAATGTTCTAAATCCAAATCTATGTATATTTATTTGCAGTTCATTCACAGTTTGCGAAAAGAAAAAAGCAACGCTTTGTCAGCTTATTATTGTTGTTGGACTCAAATTTGCCACAATCATGCAACGGAGGTGCTCTCGTCCGCAAGCAAGTTTCTCAAAACTGTATGCTTGATATTTCACACCTCCAGCTCCACCAATGGATTTAATTTTTTCCTTTACACTTTCATCTTCAAACACATTATTTAGACCCTCCCTTCTATAGATTCAAAAAAGCTTTATTTCTGTAGACACTTTGATTTGAATGACCAAGTTTCCAGAGGCGTTTAAAAATCTAAATATAAGATCAAAATAATATGCGTAGTTTTAAACGGATAGGGCAATTATTGGAAATAGAGAAGAAGATTTTACGTATTACTGTTCAAAATGAGATGTTTTGAAATGTTTTAATGATGCTGCGGGACTTTTGAGTATGAACATTTCAGAAGTGACCCGCTCCGCGCCTCGTCTTCCACGCTTTTACGTCCATTCTTAAACTCTTTATGCCATCGAAACACCTACGCACGCCTAAGAGCACTATCACCATACACTTTTACAATTTTGGCGAACGTTTCCGAAGCTGTTTCGCCTATTTTTGCGCAAAATTTTATCGCGAAGAGTTTCTCTTGATTTCGTTTTTCCATTTTCGTGACGAGCACCACGAACACACGTTTACTCAACACGACACAGCAGGCGAACTAAACAAGCAAGATCGAGGGCAAATATAGCAATGATCCTCCCAGATGCCGGGATAAGAGAAAGGGAATTTCAAGGTCGCAGGATTACCACAATCGCGGCAATATAATCAGTATCATTACTTTATTGTCACACCTCGTATGCCTATAGTATATACGTAAAGTGCGGGAGTAGTGGCATTTCTGGGAATTTCGCAATATTCGTTGTTGTTGAACTCGTTAAATAATATTAAATTTACGCTGCATCACCTGAAGATAATAACCGTAATTTACGACCCATTAAAAAAACATTAAAACTACGCATTACAAGGGTTTAAAATATGTGTGATGATGATACATAGTTGTACTGCTCTAAATATTATATACATAAATATATTATAAGTATGTACATATTAATTTTTTAATCTTCTATTTCATTTAAAATTTCCTTACCTCTCAAGAATGCTCAAGTTTCGCTCGTTAAAATAACGCTGGCCGTGTATTGTTGAATTTTCCAAAAATTCATTAACGTTTCGTTTAAAATAATGCAGATATTTATGAATACCTTTTCGAAATGTAGCTACAGAAAGCTTCCTCTCTTTTACAGCCATCCTAACTCTCTGAACACTCAAACTCAAACTCAGAAAAATACTTCTTACAGCGCTAAGTTTTCAGTTAAAGAATTTGTGTTTCGATGTAGATTGGAATTGGTAAAGTTTTATGTAATTATTTTAATAAATGAGTAATGTTAAGAGGAAATTATTTTTAATGGTTTTGTTTGATTGGTTTTTGATTCATTTAATTCTTGGGTTTAAGCTAATCAAATCATCTGAAATTATAACTCAAAACAAATAGTGAAATTGCGTCCACCAAAATACTCGTACGTACATACTTTATGCATAGAGTGTAATAGGGAAAACAGCACTCAGAGCAGTCCATACCTCAAAATATGTAGTTTAGTACAAATTATATCCTTCAGCCCCGCGTGACTGTTTATAAGTTCTCACAAATAATTCTCTTTTGTACTAAAAATATTTCGTCATTGTCAAATTAGCTAAAAAAAAATGCAGGTACAAGGGCGGCTTAAGGAAGTTAGAGATGACATATTAGTATAAATAATGCAAATTAGAGCTCGAGTCCTGGTCTGAACAACATTCAAAAATTTAAGAAAATTAATTTAAATCGAAAATTGCCGCCACTCGGCAGGAAATTTCAGGCCTTTGGAGAGTAACTATGACGTGAAGTAAAGACTCCTCAAAAAACTATCAGCCGTTCGGTGACAGCTTATTATAAACAGTAGGTCCCTCCCATCAAGTTGCGTACCACGTATTTGAGGTTGAGCTCTGCCGAATATCTTTTCAGCGATTACAAAGCACCAATTATATATATATATATATATATATATATATATATATATTGGCTTTATGACAGAATTGGATGTACAATAAGATTTTGTTATCCAGGAACTATACCCAACATCAAATTTAGTTTAGCGGTTTTAAGTATAAGGCGCTCCATTATACTAGTAATATGGCTCTATCTGGTCAATCCCCAATCTAGGGGCATACTACGTCTAAAGGATCAATGGGATATTCTTCCACTCTTACTCGTTTATTATTAAGTCCCAGTTTGGCATCCGCTTCTAAAGAGTTTTGAGTGGTTTACTAGTGAAGCTTTGATTGGGCACCTACTCCGACAAATAAAAGTGGTTTCGAAGTAGAAGACTTCTGTCATATAAACCACATAAAATCACAGATTTATATATGTATTTAGAAAGTGGGATACGTTGAAATATTGTACGAAAATATTAAGAAGGAAAAATCTGTTTTTTTTTTTGGCTTAAATTAATTTTTCGGCTGAATGGTTAAATTACTAATAATTTTCAGCCGAAGGTATTGTTACTTAAGCTTAAATTGTCTCTAGTTATCAAAAATTACTCTAACAGATCAAGTTCTAAATTGAAAAAGTACCAAACAAAAGTTCATATTTCATTTAAGAAGTGCTAGATTTCGTTAAAAGGTCAACTTTGCTCCTCTTTATACCATAAATAAAAAAAAAATATGATAGTAAATAAAAATGTGTGCTAACTGTGCGAAAAAAATCCCAAACCGTCAACAGAATATTTAAAATTTACCAAATGACATAATTTGTTTGTTCAAATTTTATTTACAAATATAATAAACAGGCAAATCTCGTTTGGAAATTAATTGAAAATGAAATGAGAATAAGAAATTATTAAAAAAAAAAATAAATAAAAATAAACTCAAATCATAACATATCACCAAATGTTGACGTGAAATCAATCAAAAAATCAGTTCAAATGTCTGTTTCCACGTCCAAGTCACAATTTACTTCTCGATATCCCACAGAATCGAATGTGCATGCCACTACCGGCGCTGGCAATGCCTCCAGCGGCAGTGAGTCGCATGGCACACAAAAGAAAAGGCATTTGCTACGACGTGTTATGACTGCCGCCCAACACAGCACAACAAGCGTCTCGTCAAGCCGTCAAAGAATCGAATTGAAATTTGATAAATTTGGCAAATCACCCACGACAGGGCGCAGCGGCAGCGTGACCACCCTATTAACTACCACAAACAACGCAAACACTAATGGTGATGCCATCACCACTACCACCGAAGCGGCGGGTAGTGCTCTAGCCGCTGCCATGCGACCAACAGATAGCCCACAGCCTAAGGAGAAGAAGCTTTCTATGCGTACTGTGCGTAATATAATGCGTCTGGGTCGTGGTAGACAAACGTCGCAGTCGCGTGATAGCAGCACCGAGGATGAAGGCAGGTAAGTCAAGGCAAGCATTAAAGTGGAAAGTAATTTACCGCAAACAAACAAGAGCATGCCCACCTCCGTTGGAAACAAACTGTATACATAAACATACATATCTCATGTACTTACACACTGCCGTAAGGCATCAGTGCACAACATTTTACCCCAAGTATGAAGCCTCACACTCAAGGAATTTTAGTTTCCATAGAACTTCTATTATAAGAAATAAAAAATTTACTCAAAATATATTACCACCGAAAATCAAAAAGAAAACAGTAAACAATAAACAGCAACAAGTGTCCATTTTTTAAGGCACGCCATAAGCTTGGCGTCCACATCTAGGTCATATTTGGGCTAAGAGGAAATGATGTTGAAAGGTAAACATGCCATCGTTTCTTACTCTTAATAAAATATCTATTGCAGCGTTTTTTTTTATATGAATAACATATATACGTATATACGTACATATACTGAAATTTGGCCTTTATTGCTTAAGAACAGCACAACAGGTAGCTACTTTGGCGGTAAACAAGCGTATATAACATGAAACCAAATACACAACTAAGAGTATTCATATTCTTCGTTGAGCTTTAGAATTAAGTGCATTTTGCCCTCGATTGGGCAATACGACAATAACCGTCCCAGCATGTTGTTGCGCTCTCTTTGTGTGGGTTGTACATCGAACCTTGATTATGGTTGCTTTTCGAGAGGATTTAGCTGCTGGCAAATTCCAACTATTCAGTTGACCTTTAACAACATGCCGAGTACTTGGAAAATTTTCGTAATTCTTGGGATGAGGTGTAAACACAATTTTCCTGTGTACAAGTGTGTACATATATACAGGGTTATTCATTTGGCGTTTGTGAAAATAAACTTCATTTAAAATCGTTTTTTTTTTTCAAGAGACTTCTTTTTTATTATAAACTTTGAGTCCACATTATATACAGGTATTTAGGTACAAGTACAATATTATACGTGAAACATGACATCATTCAAATAACTACCTCGCGAACTTTTGCAAACTTCGATTTGTTTGGAGTAAGTTTCGGCTACTTTATGGCACATATTGTGCGTTATTTCAGCCATTACTTGGGAATTTTGGTTTTAATTGCTCAAGATTTCAAGGTTTATCCGCTTAAAAACGAAATAGGTCATAAGACGTTATCTAGGTCCACAATTGACATCGCCAAAACGAGGGATTACGAGTCCGCGGGGACTTTCTCTCGCAGACCAAAAATTGTCGATTATCATACGATGATAACTCTTCGAACTGACAGGGACATTCTTACCGTGCTCGTTTTAATAGAAACTCACTTTGGGCCATAAATCACACTTCCGGACCAAAGAGGGCAGAACCGTCGTTCACTACTTGTACGTGTGGGTAAGTGCCGTAATAAACCAAGCAGCTTTCGAGAACTTAGAGAAATGTAGACATTCAAGTCTTTGACTATACTTTCACTTGAGGGGTTACATAGGTCTTGAAACTTCAAGTTAATTTGTTATATAAAATTACAAAGGGTCAGGAATATTTTCTCCAAGTCTCAAATCGATCGTGGCGAAACTGTAGAATATAGAGGATTTTATAGCTCGCCATAGCCAAGACAAAGATGGTTTAACCGATGATAAAACTTTAAACGCATTTTTCTTAAAACCACTTTTGACGAAATCGGTAGTCATAATTTCTCAACGACTATTGAAGCGATCTAGTTCAAATTTTTCACACTTCTTTTAAGCATGTTTTTGTAGTCCCTGCACGAAGGATTTATTTTATATTTGATCTCAACTCATTTTACAATCCAATATGTGGCCTAATTTTATGCAAAAATGACGTTTTTTGTAAGAAAAAATACGCTAGAAAAAAATCAATTTTTAATTTTTTTAATTATTCTTTGTTCAGGGACAAGGAAAATTCACCTATTTTAAGAAAAAAATATTGAAAAAATTATCTTGACTACCGCGAAAGCACTTTCTTGTGGACGGTTTATTTCACGACACTGCCAACGCCTTAACTTATTAAAATTTTTCATTCACATTTTCATCAAAGGTTGTCCACGTATTGTAATTTCATATGCAAACAAAAGAAAATGTATACTTCATTTAGTATAATTTCAAAAAATTAGAGGAAATAAACTTTTCTTGGCCTTCAAGACCTACGTAACCCCTTAAATGGGACAATTTTGCTTATTTACTTATTCGCCGAATGAAAAATGTGCATCGTCGGTAAAGAAAATTTTGTTCGAAAAATTGCAGTCAATTGCTTATTGCTCAAGCCCCAGCTGGCTTTGGTTGTTGTCTAACTGAACACTATATACACGGAGCTGTAGGTGTAGGACGAAGTGCAAAATACGTTACAATGTGCCGTAATAAAGACCCAGCTTTTGAGAACATCGAGAAACCGACACATTCAGGTCTTCGACTATACTTTCATTAACGCATATGAACTAGCAAATATTGATGGAGATAATCACCATTTTAGGTTCTCACAATTTTAGCGCCTTGTGCGATTGTTAATCGATCCAGTTTTCCAGTTAAATTTGGCAGTTGTGAAAATATAGCCCTGTTTTCTTGCAGCCACGAAATGGCTAATCCTATACACACATATTTCTGGATTGGAAACTCAAGCTAATCGTAGTAACTAAAAGTTTAATGTTCTGCTAAAAAAAAAATTTATGAGGGCAAGACGATTTTTATAACTAACGGTAAAAACCATACCAAGCTTGGGAAAATCCACCAAAATTACGCTGAAAAAAATTAAATAAAGAGAAAAAAAAAATAAAGTTAAATAAAAATTAACATTTATTTAAATTGAAAAATAAAATAAAATAAAAAAGATAAAATAAGTAACACGAAAGAGGGGCCCTCTTAGGTTATGCCATACTTATTATATCTTTCATGTCCATATCCAGTTGGTGGTATTTTATTTCAGGTTAAAATATTTATTCTCATGTTTGAAGAATGGATTTTAGGGGACTTTATGATGGAGTTTTTCGCTTTCGGTGATTTTCAGGTTTATTCGTATATACGTGTCTTTAAAACCAAATTTGGTTGACCTTGAAGATCAGAAACAGAAAAGTGATTTTTTTTACTAGCCAAAAGGGCTCTATTACAATGATCTTCGAAAAAATTTTACTGAGATTGCCAGAATATCTACACTGTTATATGTAAAAATGAAAAGTTAATTTTTCGTAGTTTTTTCAAACAAAACTTATTTTTGATTTTTTAACAGTGTCAGGCGTATATTTGTATATAGGTATCTTAACATCGTTTTCCAAACGGAAAATTGCAATCCTGCGTAGGTCTGAATAACCAGTGTGCATTTTGCTGTCATTCTATTTGCCTTGAGGGTATCTGAAATGAAAAATATAAAAAGGGTCGTTAGTGGTTATTGTTTGAACTATTAATTGAGCCACGACTGAGGTAACGAAATGAACTCCAAAGCAACGGCGTTCTCTTTAAAGAAAGTTAAAATTTAGCTTAAAAATCTGACGGTATTTTCCATTTTCGTAGATTAAGGCCATGGATGAAAGTAAATGAAATAGAGTTTTTTGAAAGTGTCGTCACCAACAAAGCTAAAATTTTTTGTCGAATAATTTATTTTTGTCGTCATACAATTTTTTTTTATTTTTATTTATATGGAATGTTAATGATTTTGTTGATACCTTGTAGTAAGTTCCGAAATAAACTGCATGCCTCTGGCCATAATCTACAAATCTACCAAGTCCCTTGGAGCTTTAAAAATTTAGTATAGATTTATCACGAACAACGCTAGGTCCTGTAGTTTTGAGTTCAAGCAAAGCTATTGTCCAGTCCACCTCCACTAAACATAATGATCTTGCTACGAATAAAGTTAAATAAAGTCAAACCGTAAATATGTTTTCCTCTCAACCGAGCACTCCTCTCATACCATATATGTATATTTTGTGTATATAAACATTGCAAGCCACAACAATCTGTCTAATAGTTTTCTTGTCGTGGAACCGCCCGCATTTAATTACTCGCATACCCATGTCTACCCACACAAACAAAAAAAAAATACAAATTGCCTCTAGATAGCACAAGTTAATTTTAATATCAGAACGTACGAAGCTATGCATAGATATATCATACAATAAATTGCTGTATTAATTTTAATTAGGGAGTACTTACAAGAATGCTCCGACGTAATTCATCAAAGATCCAGCTCGCTCCCGATGCCCGCTTATAACTGCATTATATAACCATGAAAAACACTATAAAACTATTTTAGGATAAGAAGATTACGCCATACTTCACTTGTTAGGTTGATTTTAGAATATGGCTCAGTTGTGTGGAGTCCGCAATACCAATTTTTAAGAAGCATAAACTAGGATGCGAGTATGAATCTCCCTCCTTACAAAACTCATTTACAGCTCATTAATCTCCTAGTACTCCATAGTGTTAGAAGGATGTTTGCAAATTGGTTTTTAACAAAATCTACTTAGCGAACTTAACTTTACCATCCCATTTCAAATCATCTAGGCGCTTTAGGCCTCTTTAGTTTTGTTCATACAGAATAAACTTTGAAAGTACGACCATGTTTAGATGGTTGTGCGCCGATTTTAGGACACATTCCACCAGCAATTATTATTCCGACTCGGTTCTCTGTATCAAAACTTACTTAAAAAGTGGTTTAAATAATTAAGTAAATTCTTATTCTTTTTCCGCGTAATTAAGAGCTAATGAGCTAATCTGTAGCTCTTTAGTGTACCGGTTATCCTTCAGGCGTAGCCATTAGTCGGGTGGGCGGGAGATGGATAATGGTGTGTTCATCGTAAGGAAAAAAGGATAATTTACTAAAGCAAGATGAAGAGCGAGCAGAATTATTTTTTAATGTTTTTGTAATCCAAAACGTCAAATTTTCAATAAAATTAGGTTAATTAAATAGTCTGAGCTGCCAACTTCATTATACCAAACTGGTAGAATGCTGCGCCCTTATTGGCAAAAAACTCGCAGATCCAATTTTCACAGGCCTCTCTTGAGGCCAACTTCTCACCACT